TAATATTTGTTGATTAATATTTTTTTTCATTTTATGAATAAGGAAAACTGAAACTCTGAGTGATTATTTTTTCAAAATCACATGCAACTTTTGAGTCCATTTCTCTCTAAAACACAATATAAAAACAAACACAAAAGTAAATTTAAAATTATTAAATATAGGAAGCAAATAGTTACAGTAAACTCTGCTGAAACTCTCACTTTTCACATCTGAAACCACATTTAATATTGTGTTCTGAATTTTTTATCAGGATTTTTTGTGTAACTTATTATGTAAATATACCACATCTTTTCATTGATACCATGCAGGAGCATTTGGTTGTTAATTATGTGTGACTCCAGTGTACCTACCCAACATTGAACAGGTACATCTTATAGACAGGTTTCAGTCCTCAAACATGTGTTTGTTGAAAATTAACTACACTCAAAATTGAAAAAAAAACTTTAAATTGCTTCTAAGCATGGTACTTATTGGAATTTTTATCATTCACTGTCTAACTGGGTAGTATCCAACTATATGTAGAGAGGAGGGAGATTTGAAAGAATGTTAATGATCCTGAGAAACCATCATCAATGCCTGTTTTCTGAAAGGAGATTTTTTCTTTTTTTCTTTTTTTTCTTTTATAGTTTATTGTCAAGTTGGTTTCTATATAACACCCAGTGTTCATCCCAACAAGTGCCCTCCTTTATGGGCATCACCTCTTTTCCCCTCTCCCCCACCCCTATCAGCCCTCAGTTTGTTCTTAGTATTTAAGAGTTTATTTCTAGTGTGTTTCCTTCCCTCTCCTTTTTTTCCCTCTCCCCCTCTCCCTTCCCCATGGTCCTCTTTTAAGTTTCTCCTGCTCCACATAAGAGTGAACACATATGATATCTGTCCTTCTCTGCCTGACTTATTTCTTTTTTTTTTTTTAATATTTTGTTTATTTCTAGGAGAGAGAGAGAGAGAGAGAGACAGCGTGAGCAGGGGAGGGTCAGAGAGAGAGGGAGTCACAGACTGAAACAGGCTCCAGGCTCTGAGCTGGCAGTCAGCACAGAGCCCGACGCGGGGCTCGAACCCACGAACCGCGAGATCATGACCCAAGCAAAAGTTGGACGCTTAACCGACTAAGCCACCCAGGCGCCCCCTGCCTGACTTATTTCACTTAGCATAACACCCTCGAGTTCCACCCACATTGCTACAAATGGCCAGATTTCATTCTTTCTGAAATGAGATATTTTTGATTCTAAAAAGGATGAAGGCTATGCAAAGAAATAGAAACGCAAAGTGAAGTCATTACTGACAACATTAATATGATAGTAGTTTATACTTTTGGAAAAATATCTGGTAAACATTTTTTAAAATCCTTGTATCTCACTTTTTTGACAATTTCTTCCAAATATACCATGAAAAAATCATAAAAGAAATTAGATATTTCTAAGTAGTAATTGCTAATTTCATACCCAAACTTTTGCATCAAATGGTTACTTGCTTCAGGAACAGTACTGACCCCAGAAGGGCCAAGGCACTGAGAGGGAGGGTTCTTGGCTTTGTGAAAGAATTCAAGAGCAAGCCGTTTAGAGAGCAGGACAAAGATCTATTAGGTATAGAAATAAGAAAGGAGATGCTTCACAAAGTATCGATCTCCCTTCCCAGATGGGGAAGAGGAACCCCCCTTTAACTCTAATGAAGGGTTTTATAAACTTTCTAAAATTAGCTAACCATATCAGGAAGGGGTAACTCTTTAACTTGGGGTTTCTTACATTGGGCTATTCGTTTTTGCATTGTCTTAGGGTTGTGGAATTAACCCAGGGAGCAGTGTTAAGAATGCCCAGCCTTGTGGCTTTTATTGCCAGACAGCATGGGGTCTAGTAGTCTTCCATGAGTTGGGTCTTGTGACTCTTTTTGTGACCTGCTGATGTTTAAGTTCAGGGTCAGCCTAAAGCCAAAATGGCTTTACATTGGTCAACTTGTCTCCCAAGCCTCCCGTCCCTCCTGCCGCGGTGTGTTTGAAAAAGCACCTTAACCTGTTAAGATAAAATATGTCTTCTTTGTGATTACCTTAATTTAATGAAGTAGGAACACTGGAAAGTGAAATTACTTGTCTACTGAAATTGTAAGTTAATCAGTAAGAACCACGCAAAGAAACTTCATGTGCCAACCAATCACAATGCTTTTATTGTAACCACCTTTCCTTTCCTAACTATGATTGTGCTGTGCTACAGGGCTTATTTTAAATTACAAAGGTTTGTTTGCCTGAGAAAGACAAGTAGCATAAAATTTCACTCATCTGTGGAATCATAAATAATACAAATAAGTAAACAAACATAAAGCAGAATCAGATCTATGAATACAGAGAACAAACTGATGGTTGATGGTGGAGGGCAGCAGGGGATGAGCAAAAGGGGTGAAGGGGAGGAGGAGGTACAGGCTTCCAGTTATGGAATGGATAAGTTACAGGGATGAAAGTCACAGCATAAGGAATGTCATCGATGATATTGCAAGAGACCTATATGGTGACAGATGGTAGCTCCACTGGGGGTGAGTACAGTGTAACATACCGAGATGTTGAATCACCTGAAACTAATGTAACTTTGTGTGTCAACTTCAAATTACAAAAATTTTTTAAAAATTAAAAAAAAAAAAAAGAACAGGACTAGATGTTAGCTCTAAGTACTTGGGAGCAGGGCATAATGTGGTGAATTGGACTTAGTTTCTAGAGTCGGAATGACTGGAATTCAAATCCTGAGCCACAGAAAGAGCTAAGTGGATTAGATAGATAACCACCGGAGTTTCACATGTTTCACAGGTAAATAGGGAATAATAATATCTAGCTCGTGGTATTGTAGTACAGATGAAATAAAATTATTTAAAATGCTATAAAAATTTAAAAACAGAAGGCTTTAGAATTTCACCACACAAAACTGAGTAAAAGATTTCAGACAGAAAAGAGAACATAATGTGTGATCCTATCAACCTCACATTTTAAAAGAGGCACAACTAATGAATGCTGTTAGAAATGGGGACAGTGGTTTCCCTGGGGAGTAGGTATGGTTTGAGGACATGGAGAACATTCTGGGATGCTGGTAATGTTTTCTTTCCTGAAGCATTTGCTACTCACACAGATGTGTATAGTTTGCAGAATTTCATTGGGCTGTGTACTTATGATTTGTACATTTCAGTGCATTTTTAATACCTCACTGTCATTTGCAGTAACAGTAAAACATTTATTTCAGTGGAAACACTGATGCTAATTATAAGTTAAAGGATAATACTCAACCAAATCTTTGACCAATTTGGCATTGCTCCCAAGTTAGCACATCGTATGCAAAAGAAATCTCTTTAATTACTTGATTCAAACTCCTATTTTAATTTTAGTTGGGAATGGACTCTTTATTTTTTTTATGCTCTCCTTTATTAAATGAATAAAACCTCTGAGTTCAAAGCTTAAAAAGAAACACTTTTATAACTATTTTTTCTTTTTTCTTCTTCCCCTTCTAGTGATAATGTGATCTAATGTTGAAATCTAATTACTGTCCTTCTAATGCCTAAACTCAGCTTAGCCATTATATGAAACATAGGCCATCCATGGGGATGAGCTCAGTTCATCTGACTTCTTAGAAAATTCAAGAAATATTTTATCCTGAAGTAAAATAGATCTTTGTTTGTTTACTTTCCGTTACCTTGTTTAACAGAAAGGTAGTTATCCTGAAATGTTTTCAATGGTTGAACACATATATAGAGAACTTGAAGGTGGAGAGTCAAGCCCATGGTAACCCTTAACATACATTCACTATTATTGTCATTATTTATATCCCAACTTTATCACCTACTATGTAGCCTTTGGCCCTATAAATTTAATTATAATTAAAATTTCGATTTCTGAGTCACATGAGCCTGATTTCAAGTGTTCAGTGGTCATCTGTGGCCAGTGTCTGCTGTGTTGGACAGAACACATTTAGGGCATTTCCATTATCATAGAAAGTTTTACTAGACAACATTAATTTATATAATTGGAATAATACATTTCTCAGAGTTTTTATTCTACAAAATGGTGCTTTGTAGAATCCTTAGTATTGTGATGACAGATCAGAAATGCTTGGTACATGACATTTAATAATATCTTTAGTAAAAGTAAGAAAAACTAGATAATGAAAATAATAAGAATAAGAATAATATAAAACTTATATATCTAGTATTATGAATCAGGTGGATGTAACCTTGTATAAATTCAATAAGACTCTCCTATCCGTTATTCCTCATCCCAGTATTTCACTATGAAATAATTCTCAAATTCGAGTTCTGAAACATCTGAGGTAGGAGCCATAAAGCCAGACTAATATATTATCCTCAAACTTTCATTTAAAAAAATCCAAAGAACTATTTACCTTTTTAAAATTCTAAATATTAAGAAACCTTAACATGTAGATCATTAGTACCTACAACTAGGAACAAATCTGATTAATCAGGATATAGAATCATTAAAAAGGAGCAATTAGTATTCTAACTTTCTCTAATTATGACATGGCACTTACTAATTAGGATCTTTATATATCTCTGCACTTACTGGTTTTCAACTTTTATTCTTCTTATCATCCGAGAGATTTTAGTGCATTATTTTATTTTTCCCCTTTAGGAAATGTGTGAGCTGAAAAGCACTACCACATGCTATGCCTATTACACAAGACAATGGCTAGGTAAACAATCAATCCCATACTTAAACCAATTTGGATCCCAGCCCAGAGTGGAATGCATCAGATATGCCAATCAAAACACTTGATTCACCTGCTGGACTCAGTTAGTGTCTGTGTCCTTGAAATTCACAATTGGGTAGTCATTATCATTCATCCCTGTGGACACAAACCCTGATAATCTACACAATGATAACCAGAACAATAGACAGTTAGGAGGGTTGTGTTGTGTTATTATCACAAAAGAACATCAGTCTTACAAACAGAAATAAGCCCTTTAATACAGGTTTTTTTTTTCCTGCTTATTTATACCCTGTGTTTTTTCCCTCCTAGGCTACTGACAAAGATACTGGCAATTATAGTGCCATGGCGTACCGACTGATCATTCCGCCAATTAAAGAGGGAAAGGAAGGATTTGTGGTAGAAACGTATACAGGGCTCATCAAAACCGCTATGCTCTTCCACAACATGAGAAGGTCCTACTTCAAATTCCAAGTCATTGCGACTGACAACTATGGGCAGGGACTAAGTGGCAAAGCAGATGTGCTGGTAAGTAGATGAAAGCTGAGATTAGCGGACCTGTGTGCAATTACCCCATGGTCAGTGCTTTCAACCCATAGAATTATTTTCTTTTTAAGTTTTATTTATTTATTTTGAGAGAGAAAGAGAGAAAACAAGCAGAGGAGGAGCAGAGAGAGAGGGAGAGACAGAATCCCAAGCAGGCTCGGCACTGTCGGCACAGAGCCCCACATCGGGCTCGAACCATGAGATCATGACCTGAGCCTAAGAGTCAGATGCTTAATCAAATGAGACACCCAGGCGCCCGAACTCAAGAACTTTTAAGTTTAATCCACATAGGTTTTCTATAACCTAGATGGGATTGATTTTCATCCAGGTTGTTAATAGCTATAACTTAGGATATAAAAGTATAGCTTTAAGGCTGTGCATTTTTTTTCACATTTGTTTTTATATATGATATGTTTTTATATATGACTGTGACAGCAATTCTACAAGCATTGGATTGGTATTTGATCTGCACATCTCATTTTTCATGTAGAGTTGGCTGATGCTCCATAAAAATTTTAAATGGTTTACAGAGTTGTGCTGGAGAAATTAAAATGTATGAAATTTGTATTACTGTTTAAATTCCTTTTAGACCTTTTGTAATTAAGAAAACAAAAGGAAATGTTTTGAAGCAAATTCATGTTCCATTAGATGTAATTTCCTTATTTGACCCAAATCCCCAATGATGGCCTTGATGATCCTTGACTAAGTTATATTTGGCTCCGTCAAGAACATTGTTTTCCTCTACTTTTTCTTAGTCTGGATATAATCTCAGTGGTAGGGCACTCCCAAGGGCAGTTTGACATATACGATGTGTCATGTGTAGTATGTACATAAGCAATGCAAAGATTATGGGTTTCTTAACTCTATAAACTGTTGTGCGGAAATAAAAAACTATACCTTTAAAACTACCATATATGTGTATATGTGTGGTGTGCGCTATATATATATAAAGAGGGAGAAAAAGGCATTGATGTCAAGAGAACACCATGAGCCTAAACTAAGAAGGAAGACAAATGGTGACAGGCTGAGGCCCTGAAAGCTATTACTCAGCCTGGAGCAGCGAACAAGGGCAAGTGCCTGAGAGCCCAGAGCCGGGGCTGTGCGTGGCAGTAGGTGGCTCATGTGACAGCTGTCAGTCATGTTAACAAACCTGGAACTTTTTCTTAAAATTAGTGGGAAAGCATTGGAAAATTTTTAGCAGGAGTGAGTGAAGGTAAGAGTTTTAATTTTGAAGACACCTTCCTGCTTACTGAGAATCTGTTCTTCCCCGAGGACACACCTCACACTCAGGGCTTCCGAAGTAGTTGCTTCTGTCCAGTTCTTTTGTGTTTCTGTTTGCCACACACTCACATCACATGCTGACCAAGGGGGACCCTCGAGTATGACATGGTCACTTCTAGACCTTTCCTTTTCCTGTGATCCAGCCTTGGTCCTCCCTGTCTGAGCCTGTCACTCACTGCCTCCTTCACGTTGTTGCTGTGATCTCCCAAACCTTGGGTTCCCCCCACAACACACTCCGTGAGTTCAGTTTCTGGTTACTGTTACCATTTTCAGCAATTCCGTTGTCCTGATTTTTGGCAGTTTCATACACAGAGATGATTCCTGCAGTATCCTGAATTCACAACCCCCTGAATGCCTTTCCTCCAGTGCCTTTAACTCCCTATTGCATCCACTAGAAACCTGCGATTTCTGCCATTACCGGTGAATGCATTCCCTCTGTAACCTCCATGTCAAACCTCCCAATCTTTGGAAGTAATACCGAACGTGCATAAAATTAAAGCATTAGAAGGCTACTCCTGCACCCCCCACCACCAACCCTACTGACCTACCAGAATGTATCCCCATATATTCTCTGCCTTCTTCCCTGCTCACTTAGAGGAGTTCTCTATGCTCCTGTCATTACTCCTGCCTGTACAACAAGTCCAGTCCCCATCCACCAGCTCTGGGACATCGTTTCAGCTGCTCTCTTGTTTCTTTTATCCATGAGCAATATCAATCTCCCCTTTATTTGATTATTCTCATAATCATTACGGGTTCCATCTTCAAGCCATACATTAAAAACCCTTTTGACCTACATCTCCTTCCAACTACCACTTCATGTCTATGTTCCTCTTTCCAGAAAAACTCACTGGTGAAGGGGGCTCTGGTTTTTCACCATAGAATCTCTCTCTTGAACCCTCTCTAATTATGATTCTACTCCAACCCCTTATCCAGAACTTCTATGTTACTAAATTCACTGGTAATGTCAGTCTTCATCATATTTGTACCATCAGCAATACTCCATGGGTTATTACCTTTTCGAGGATTTCGGGCCATGTTCTCCCATGGTCATCTCTTACCTCACTGCTTGTCCCTTCTCAGTCTCCTCTCCAGTTCATTTTCCTCTCCTGGCCTTTTAATATTGATGTTTCTTCAGGGTCAGACATTAATTCTCTTTTCTATCTGTTCTCACGGACTCAGTAAATTCATTCAGTAAGCAAAACTTTAAAATGTCATCTATATACTAAAGAACAGTCCATTTGTGTCTTGTCCCCAAAGCTCATTTTTGAACAGCAAATTCATAGATCTGTGTGGACACTGGAAAGTCAGATGAAGATGCCTGTTTAAGCTGATCTGAACTCCTCTTCCTCATCATATCGCTTCCCTCTGCCGTCCCTCCCAGTCCCCTCAGGTCCTCAGGTTTACTCAGTGGCCAGATGATCTGTGTGTTCCTTAGGCTAAAGAGCTCTTGATTCCTTTCTCTCCTAAGCCACATATTGAATCCCTCAGTAAATACTGTGGTATTATTTATATATGTGTCATATATATAACACATTAATTTATATTATTGTATTAATAATATTTATGTTCATATGTATATTATTTATGTGTGTCATATATATATATATATAAAACATACACACACACACACATATAATCTGCACATTTTTCAACCCTTCTCCTGTTAGAGCTTGGTTGAAACCACCCTCATATTTCACCTGTATCATTTCACAAACTCAGTAACTTGCCCCTGTGCTTCTGCTCTTGCCCTAGTCAAGTCTGGTATTAATATAGCAGCCAAAGTGATCCCTTATAAGGTAATTCAGGTGTTACCATTTCTCTACTTAAAACCTTTTTTTATTGTCCCAGGTCTTCCAGAGAAATTCTAAGTCATTACAGAAGACTATGAGGCCCTGGGTAATCTGGCCTTCATTGACCTCATTTTCTATCTCCATTTCAGACATTCAGACCCAGTAATACTGGACAACTTGCTGTTCCCCAAACAGCCAGACATGCCCTCAATTCTGAGATTTTGCAGTGCATCTATCTATAAAGTTCTTTTCCCCAAGGTGTTCAGAACTAGCTCCCTCATCTCCTCCAAATATTGGCAAGGATGTATTTCACAGTGAAGCCTCCTCCGGCCATCCAGTTCCAAATTGCAGCCTCGAATGTCACCTTGTACCTCTTCATTGTTCTCTCTTTACAAGGGACTTATACTCATGTTCATATTTCCACATAAAAACTCCATGAGGGTAATTCTTTTGTTGTTGTTTTTAATTAATTATTTCATTCCCTGATGTATCTGAAGTGCCCAGAATAATTCTTGACATACAGAGGGTACTCAGTGCCCTTTCAGTGGATGAATCACCTCACTTTCACTACATAAATGGGCAGTATTCAAAGTGTGATCCTTGGAATGCCGAGGATCCCCCACATAATTTCAGGGTTTGGTGGAGTCAGAAATATTTTTCATGAGAATGCCAGGACATTGTTGGACTTTTCACTCTATTGTATTTGCACCACTATATTCATACATGAACAGGAAGAAAAAAGCATGAAAAGTGCCCTTACTCTTACTCAGCAAAACTGATTAATTTTAAGAAACTTCCACTCTTGACTAAATACCTTTCCATTATGTTGTGTACTGAGATGGAATGTATGCTTAGATCACTTGTGCTGTTTAAGGAAGCAGAAGGGCAATCTGAAGGAGAAGCACTATGTAAGCTGAATTGGCTATGCTTTGGTTTTGTTTTTGTTTAAGGAATAGCTTTTCCTTTGAAAAAATAACTTGAGATAAAATATGGTTATTCAAACTTGAATATTTCATAGACATTTACACAAAAGTGAATGAAGAGAGGCTGTCAGTTCAAGGAAGTCAATGGACAGTATTTGTGGCTCTTGATAGCATCAAAGCTTCCAAGTGCAAAGTAGAATACTGGAAAGCTTGGGGGTGCCGGGGTGGCTCAGTCAGTTAAGTGTCTGACTTCAGCTCAGGTCATGATCTCGCGTGACCTTTGTGGGATCAAGCGCCATGTCATGCTCTGTGCTCACAGTGCAGAGCCTGCTTGGGATTCTTTCTCCCTCTCTCTGCCCCTCCCCTGCTCATGTGCATTCTCTCTCTCAAAAAATAAATAGACAAACTTAAAAATAAGATAAATAAAACTAAAATCAATAAAAAAATAAAAAGAATTTTGGAAAGTTATAGTCAGTCACCACTGTCAGCCAGACAGCTTCCCATTACTCAAAGACCATGCGAATGTGGCCATATTAAAGAATGTGACTTTTTCTTGATATTGTATTATGTAATGTGTCAATATTCAAAGAATTGGTGTTACTCAATGAACCACGATTATCCAAATGACCATTTGGATCCATTGACAGTGGAAGACAGATAAATGTGTTTTGACATAACTAAACCCGATTTTCAATTTCACACTCAGACTAGCACTTCACTTCTGGTGTTGTATCAAAGACTCTACAGAGCTATCTAAAAATGATGATAAAGATGCCTCTGCCTTTTCAAGAAAAATGAGATGGCACCAGAGGCAGTCAGGGGACACAGTGACGAGTCTAAGCAAGAGAAGGCGAGTATCTCTAGAGCTTCGCTACCCAGTGTGCTGGTCCTGTGCCTTCTGTGCAGACTGAGCACCTGAAATGTGGCCATGTGACCTTGAGATGGACTGTAAGTATACAGTGCACACCGGGTTTCGAAGACTTCATAGAAAAAATGTAAAATGTCTCGACAAGTTGTTTTGTGTGGATTATGTGCCGAAATGAAAATCTATTAATATATTGGGATCAGTGTATAAATGGCTTTCACAATTTTTTATCTTTCTATTATGGGTAGCAGAAACTTTTAAATTACATATCTGTATGGATGTGTGGCTTATGTTAATTTTTTATTGGCCAGCGCTATCTAAACTATATGGGAATAAATTGATAAAAGAAGGAAGTTAAGAAGCTCATTAGGAAGAATTAAAAGAACTCAGAAATCATATGTGCATTTTCAACCTCTGTTTTAGAAAGTTGTGCTTCGCAAATGTACCTTTTTCTTCTTTTGACTCTTTCTTGTAATTTTAATCTGTTACAGAGGTTGATCCCAACAATGATAGAAATATGTTTTTAAAAAATTCTTTATAAGCAGAATTTTATAAGCAGAATTGCTTATAAATTGACCTATTCACTTCTAGAAATATTTGCCTAAACACTGTACTGGGAAAGTAACATAAATAAAATCTAGGAATCTTAAATATTTAAATAAATACCTTTGTTGTACATGGTACACAAAGCCAATATTCAGGGATGTAGCAAACCCAGAATTGGCTGAAGCAGACATGAGGACTGTATAGTGATCCCATAGAATGAGTTATTCTAACTACTCATGTCTCAGCTGCTTAGTCACACTGGGTAAATGCTCTCCCGAGATTTGTAAAAGCTGTGTTTTCCATTATACTGAGTGTTCTTAAGTAACCCAATTAGAAACATAAACATACCTTCTCTCATGCTTTAGACAGTAACCAACAAACAAAAAAATCACAAGCCGACAACAGTAGAAGTCACTTAGGGTTCTGTAACTTGTAAGTAAACAACGATAGTCTATCCACCTGCCCCAAAGTCTAATGATGATTGTCTAACTAAAGATATTTATTCCTAAATGAAAAATGGGAAACCCTGGGTCTATGCACAGTAGGAAAGAAATGGGTTATAGAAATGCTCATTAGTTCTCAATGGACTCTGGTTCTCCTTCCTGCAGGTCTCTGTGGTCAATCAGCTGGACATGCAGGTCATCGTTTCCAATGTGCCCCCGACCCTGGTGGAGAAAAAGATAGAAGATCTTACAGAGTAATGGATTTTTGCTTATTTATATATTTATACTCGTATAGCGATAATTTTATTGGATTAGCTCATTTTAATCATTACAGTGTTCAGATTAAACATATAAAACACCATCTTAATAATTCAGCATACCCTTTTCCTGAAATCAAGAGCTTCACTTAAAATACATGGAGAATCTGATAGTACCTTTAAAGAGGTATGGAAATTAGATGTAAGATGATGCATATTATGCAGGATGCTTTGACCGATACATCAACATAACCTCAAAACGCTGTATAGAAGAAAGAAATCTTAACACTCATTATTAGAGTATAGATTTTGATTTTTTGTAGCCCCAAATGATTCAGAAAACTGATTAAGTCAGCAGTCCAGTGAGCCCAGGGAATGTTATTTCTCAAAGTGATGGATCTAGATGGCTAAAGCTTAGTCTTTCAAAAACCAAGAAGACTAATTTTAAACAATCCTAGAAAATATGCCACATTGTACATTTTGAACAGTGTACACCGAACATGTCATTGTTGAATCACACAAAGTTGGGTCTATTTATGAAGCTACGGTTCTCTCACATTCTGAATGCTATCAAAGATGACTAAACATCTTTGCTAGTTCACTCTGAGCCACCCAACCCTAGTCGGCCATCATTTCATAATTTTTAGATTGACACTTACTTTTTAATTCTGTGTCTTCCCTTGAGTTCAGGTTGACAGGTATCAGTTTTTCACTACCTCTCTCTAGCAAAGTATCTTTCACTTACAAGTTTCCAGAAGAAGCTTCAGATATCAGACGGCTAAACTTTTAGTTACCATGCATCAATTACAATAAGAAAAGTTTAATGAACGCATGAGTATTTCTTCTGTGAGAAAAGCATGTGCTCTGTAACAGTTATTTCTTACTACACAAACTTAACCTTTGAGCGCCGTGTGCAAAGTCCTACAGAGAAGGGGATTCTCAATATTTATGCTTGGAATATCAGTCAGACACTGATCTGGGTTAACGGTGCAGAAGTGTTTTATGTACCCTCAATGTTTTGTCAAAATAATAGCTGATTTACACCTGAAAAAAAAATTGACTCACGCCTGTCTCTTAGCTGCTTTAATGTTATCTATGAAGCGGACTTCCTCTGATTGCACCATCAAAATATGGTACAGGCATCTTCAACCTCTAACCCTTCATTCTGATTTATTTTTCTTCCAAGCATTATCTACCGCTTTCACTATATGTCCATTTCCCCCGGAAGTATAAGCTCCATGAGGATAGGAGGCTATCCTACGTTTTCACTGCTGTCATTCCAGTTACACAGGAGGGGCCTGGTGTATTTATTGAATGAAAATTTTATACAAGCTAAATCCTTATTCCTCTTCCTTATATTTGAGACAGAATTTATGAAATTTGAAAAAAATGGCAATGTAGAAGTATAATTTCATAGCAGTTTATATGATTTTTTTCCCTTTTAAGTGGAAGGGAAGATTAGAATGAGAAAGAACAGTCACTTTTCTAGTCTTAAATATATCCCTGTGAAAGGAGCATAGACTTCATGTGACACATTCATTTTGAAACTCGATCAAGATGATTTGATCTTTCCCAGACGGCCTCGCCATTTCTTACCTTTGGCTCACAAAAGCTAAAGAGGCTTATATCATGCAGTTCTTGTTAAGAACTAAATAATATAAGCAATGTAGAGCACTGAGCATTGTGAATATTCAGTGAATAACAGATATTCTAAAAATGAGGGTAGTGATCCTGTCCAGAGGGTAAGGATAGAGATGTCACTTTTTCAAGAGGATAGATTCATGTAGAGCTCATATTATGGGATCAGACTGACCAGTCTGAATCTTAGTATAACTGTGTGCCCTTCGGGCAAGAGATTTAGCACTTAGGGCCACACTTCGTCATCTAGAAAATTGAAATGAGGATGTCAATCCTGTGTTGCTTTTGATAAAATTAAATATACATTTGTGCAGTGTAGCATCATTTGTCAGTAATTATGTGAATGAATCCTTTGGGGCCACAAAATCAAGATCTGTACTCTAAGAATGAATATTGGGATTTCTTTCTTCTATGCAGTGTTTGATGGTTATGCTGGTTTTTAAAAACCTGTGTTATTTTAGAGATCGTAATCATGAAAATGTCTATTTTAAAAGATAGACTTTATGTTTGGCTAGAGCAGTTTTACATCTGCAGCGAAACTAGGCAGGAGATACAGAGTGGAGTCCCACATTGCCCACCCCCCCCCACAGCTTCCCCCACTATCAGCATCTTGTCCCAGAAGTGGCACATTTGTGGCAACCAGCAAACCAACAAGGACACATTGTAAACGTCCTAAACTCATAGTTCACATGAGGTTTCCTATTGCTGGTGTGCTTCCTGTGTGTTTGAACTAATGTCTAATGGCATCTCTCTATCACTTTATGGGATACAGAATAGATTCACTGCTCTGAATGTCCTGTGTCTCTACCTTTTCCTCCCTCCTTTCCTCTCTTCCTTGGCAGCCACCACTCTTTTCACTGTCTCTGTAGTTTTGCCTTGTCCAGAATGTCTTTGGGTTGGAATCACACAGTTTGTAGTGTTTCTGATTCCTTTTTGAAAGCTGCCAGGAGTAGTGATAAGGACTGCCAGATCTGATTCAGCCTGATGAAGCACCACACACACTGCTTTGCATCCAGGGGAGGAATACAAATACACAGTAACTGAGGTAGACAACAGAATGGCAGGTTGTTCAATAAAACTAAGAATTTTTTGTTCCAGTGACCAGACTAACCAGCACGTCTGTTTCCTATAGATGTTCTTAGATGGCAAGTCACATTATCATCAAAGATATTTTCTTTTTGTCTTTCTTTTTTACTGTTTATTTATTTTTGAGAAAGAGAGAGGGCACAAGCCGCGGAGGGGCAGAGAGAGAGGGAGACACAGAATCCAAAGTAGGCTTCAGGCTCTGAGCTGTGAGCACAGAGCCCGAAGTGAGCTTGAACTCATGGAGTGCAAAATCATGACCTGAGTTGAAGTTAGACCCTTAACCAGCTGAGCCACCCAGGCGCCCCCATCAAAGACATTTTCCATATTCCCCATATCCTTATCCTATAAGAGGGAAACTTGAATTCCATATGATCATCACATTTTTTTTTCCTTCCTGTAGACAGACCCATAAATGAGGTCAGATCATAGTTTTCTTGGTAAGCATGAAATCAGTACAAACGGTGAGGGTTGATAAAAGAAAAATGTGATGACCTAATACATTCATTTCATGATGGGGAAGATTTTGCAAAGGGGGTCAGTATCCTTTGATGGAACATGATCCCTAGAAAATAGAATATTCCTTGTAAATGAGTGTTGCTATAGTTACGATAATGATTATACCTGACTCCCCTGGCATAAATGGCTCTACTGAAACTTTTCTTTTTTGTTTTTTGTTGTTTTTTTTTTTACTACTTTTGTTATTTGAGGCTTAGAGAATTTATGAGAGACCAACACCCCTTTGTAATGAAGCACATTTATTTTAAATTGTATTAACTTATTCAGCAAATTCCAGTGAGAATCAGTGCCTGCAGGTGGCCTTTCACGTCTATGTTCGGAAGTACTTTAGGTTAAATTTAGGATTTATCTCTTTGCGGGCTCTTACTTACAAATTCTTGAGGTTAAGGCATAGAGACAGAGCTGTGAGGATAAGGATGGGGAAACCGGACTATAAGCAGCGAAGGACTAGCAATAATGTTTGAAGGGGAAGCTGGGAAACGTTTGTATTCTGTGTCCCCTTTCTACTCCCGCTTCATCCCAAAGCCCAAGTGAATAGAAGAAGGTTGGGATTCTAAAATTTAAATCTTTAAGAATCTGCAGAAATGGCATTTTTTGAAAAGTATGCAATAAAGAGCTTTCAGAGATACTGAGTTACAGCATGAATTGGAATTGAGAATTAAGGTCACAGAGTTGCGAAACACTTCTGTTACTTTCTAAGTACAATATGAAAATTCAGCGACCGTAGACTTTATTGAAGTAGTTATTGATTTGGCGTAGGAGAGCCCATCTCCATGAAATATTGATACCGCATCTGAAATGTGTCTGTGTCACTAATTTATGGCTCCTTGAGTTAAGATTACAAAACATACTTTAGAAATCTAGCTGAGATACATATTTCTAGCATGAGAATTATGAAATCTCTTGGGAAGAGAATCTGAAACAGTAAACAGGAAATGCTCACACTTATATATTCTTAAATCAGTGTAATAAACACTGGTGTTGAGGGGAAAGGTCAAATGGAAAGTCAGATCAATAAACACATTAGCTTTGATCATTTTTACCCTCTCCTTGCTGTAGAGCTGGGGGTGGGGTTCAGACACTATCAAGGGACAGATATTAGTATTATAAATATTAATGTAATAGACTAATACATTTTAAAGAGATTTTATAATGTTTATACTGTTATTTAAATTTTATTTTTACTACATTATTTCTTTCCATTATAATTTTTAACTGTTAACAATAATGTCAAACTTAAAAACAATAATTTTAAATCAATGATTTTAATAATAATACCTCTGGAAGTAAAATTCTGTTCCCCAAAACAGATAGTAGCCTGAATTTAGCCTGTATGCTTTAACTTGAAAATTCCTAATTTGAAGCATTATACTCACTGGATAGGAAAAAAAAAAAAAAAGGGGGATTATTTATTCTATTCAGATTCCTATAAGAAAACACTTCAGAGAAAAGCTCATGTAAAATTCCTAAGTGGTATATTAACTGCCCCCTCCCAACCCCCACTAGGAAGCTGATTCTTCCTGAAGGACCCTAGGCTGAACCCCCCCCCAACACACACACACACCCCGCAATGACTAGCTATCTATCAGGTCTCTGGCCAATTAAACTCTTTAAGTCCTAAAATCCGTATATGATGCTGGAAATCTGTTCATTAAATAAAAAGTAGCTACTGGTAGTAAGTACTGGAAACATGAGTGTACAAAGCAAAGCAATGTCTGTGCTCCCATGGAGATTATATTCCATGAGGAGAAACATCA